TACCTTTTTACACAGCATTGAGCAAAATTACTTTGTAAAAGTAGGATAGAAAATATGTTTATCTGTTGATGAAATATATATATATATATATATATATATATATATATATATATATAGTGCTGCCCAATCTGGTATACCAAGAGCATTTACTTCATGTTGTGATGAGTATCTATGAGCTGATAAAGAGGGGTTAATTTATTTGAAGCTGTTTTTCACTAGAATGGCACCAGCTAGATTTGCAACAGAACATCTATCTCATTTTCCCTACCAATATATTTTTAAATGTATGATTTTAAGAAGGTTTGGAATAAACTAGTAATTTTATTTCTATATGGTTTGGTATACATCTGTTATTTTGTCTCTCAGTTTTTTTTTTTCCTCCTGATGAAGACATTCCAATTTTCCTTAAAGATTTAGAGCTCATCCTATTTTAATTTACTAGGTCTACATGACATTGATTCTAGAGAGGACCACAAGATCCAGGGTGGACAAAGTAGATTGTAGTCATTCTTCCAGCCATAGTAACAGGAGGAAAGATGCATGAGAGATCATGTGTTTCCAAAACACTGATATTCATTTTATGGAAAGACATAAGCAAAGCAAGAGGGACATAAGAAAAGCAAGAATCACCCATGCTGGAGTTGAGAAAATAACTCAAGTGTTTCTTTATGATGACATCTTGAACTGAGTTGTTATCCCTTTTAAAGGCAAATGGTAGAATCAACAAGGCTGACTTCACGGAGAAATCTCTGATATAATGTGGAATCTAAGCCCTCCTACCTTGAAGGGAAGCAAGCCTCTCCCTCATTACTTCTTTCCTTATTAGTTCTGACTACACAAGATAATACATTTAGCAACAGTTGTTTCATTTTCATAACATTTCATTGTATAAACCAGTCACATGTATAAATAAGAAGTTACTAGTATCTCAACTGATATGTTGCTAATTCTAAATCTGATGACTTGGTAAAATTAATATGAGCTCATTTTAATGTTAAATTCTATCCTCTCTTCCTACACCAAGCCTATTTATTACATTTATTTACTAAAGTAGATTGAAATATAATCAAACCTTTCAAGACCAATTATACCAGATGCATGTCAAATTATATCATAAAATACAACAAACCATTCCTAAAGTCACAGTAAATGAGGCATAGAAAGTCTTCTCTTTCCTCATGATTAAACTGTGAAAAAAAATCAATGGATGATTGTACCATGGACAACTAACTACAGAATCAAACCACAAATGATTTTTTTACTAAGAAAAAAGGAATTAAACAAGGAAATAAAATTGTAACATCTAGAATATGTTTAACGGTTCAATATCACTCACCTAAATAAAATCACTAGATGGTTTCTTCTTGACGGAATGCTTAAAATGAATCTCAAATATCAACTGCTTTTAAGATGAGAATGTAAGGCTCCCAAAGCAACTGACTTTAAACTGCTGGCACAGTTACACACTCTACTCCTAAACCTATTTGATTACCTAGGAAAAATGGAAATTGATTCCTACCTGGACTGAAGCTTTATCTTTAGACGAGACATGAATGATATTTTCACAACTCAAAAAACTGGAGAAGGGATTTATGCTGTATTTCCATTCAAACATGGTCACTCAGAAGGTCATAAGCTTCCTGTTACATCCAGTTGAACTTTTGGTGTCAGACTCAGAATCTTCCTCACATAATGACATTAATATTTTCTTTCAACTTTGTTACCACCACCATCACGCCTTCATTAGTGCAGAACTTAGCATTTTTTCTTAATACGTATTTGTAAAATTCATAATATTTACGTTTCCTGGGGGTAATTAGTACGTATGCATATTTTAATTCCTTTTCTTGTTTCCCTTCCCTTCCTTCTGTCCCCCTCCATCTCCTGATCTCCCTCTCCTTTCAGAAAGATCGATCTCCCTTCTTCCTATTTTTATCTTTTATTTTGCTCTTTTCTTTTGTGCTTCTCAAATAAGAGAAGGAATATGATATTTAAACTTGTGTGTTTATTTCATTCCACATTATCATCTTGTTGTGCGTCCATTTTCTTACAAATAACTCAAGTTTTACAATAGTTTTTCAGTATTTCAATAACAACATAATATATATGTATATATACACATGTGTATGTGCACTTGAGCGACAGAGATAAAGCCAAGAAAAAGTGAATGAAAGAAATTGATTTAGTAAAATGCAGAATCTTAGAATGGGAATAATATTAGAATTTAAGTTGAATGATACAATATATGCAAATAATTTAGCAAAGTAATAATTAGTGAAAGCATCAAGAAGATATTTTAGATTTGTTAATGTTAACTGTTTTGACAGATTAATTTTGGACCTAGCTTCCCTTGACTTCTTTTTAAACATATCTGAAATTATCAGTATTTAATTGCTGCTTCTCTTCAAGAATAATCTAATGGGAAAAAGGCTATTGTAGATGCAAAGGTCAAATATAGGATAAATTATAGAGCAATATCTATTTCGTGTGAAAAGTTCTTCTATGAAGAATGAAGAACAAATGGTCTCTATAATATCAGTAAGATATAGATTAAATTAAGGCATTAAAGAAGCAATTTTACAATTGTGAAAGAAAATACTTAAAGGATGTGTTATAAATTAAAATGGATCCTGTGATATTCTGTTTCAGATTAGCTATCAAGAAAGGACCTGAACCAGAACATTTCTTTGATTGTATCCTCTGGTAGATTTTTATCTTGCATATTTTAATATATATGAACTATTAACAGGTGTGCCATTGAATTTGTTTTACAAAATATTTGTATTGTAGCATTATGATTCCTTAAACTTTTATTGAAATTTTATATTTTTTGAATTCTTAATTGAACCAATATTTACATGAATATGTGTGATACAATGTGGTATTTAATGCATGCAGGCAATATACAGTCATCAGATCTGAGTAGTTAGTGTATCTATTACCCCATTCATCAATTCTTTGTGATAAAAGCACAAGAAATTCTTTCTGATAGCTATTTTCAAATATACAATTCATTGTCAACCAAAGCTACCATACTATACTATAGAACATTAACACTTAGGCCTCCTATCCAGCTGCACATCTGTGGCCTCTTCTTTCTATCCTCCTCACGGTCTTCGACAGGCACTATTTACTCCTATTTCTGTGAGACTGAATATTTTAACTTTCACATAAAAGTGAGAATCTGCAGTATTTGCTCTTCTGTGACCAATATTTCACCTAACACAATGACCTCCAGGATCAGCCATGTGCTGCAAATGACACAGTTTCATTAATTTGTATGGCTCATGATAGTCTATTGTGTGAACATAGCACATTATCTTATCCATTCAGCGTTTAATAGGTATCTCACTTGATCGTATATCTTGGCTATTGTGACTAGTTCTGCAATAAACAAGGGTGCAGAGACCTTTTTGATATATAGATTTCCTTTCCTTTGAATACATATGCAGTACTGGAATTGCTGTATCCTACTGAGACTCTATATTTAGGTTTTTTTTTTTTTTTAAATGACAATATTGTTTTCAGTAATGGCTGTAGTGGTTTAGAAATCTGCCAAAGTATACAAGAATTTCCCCTTCCCCACATCCTTGCCAATATTCATTATTTTTGTATATTTCATAGTAACAATTAAAATGGGTAGGTTTATATCTTTTTGTAGGTTTCATTCACATTTCTTTTAATTACTAGTGATGCTGAGTGCTTTTTGTCTACCATATCCTTTTTTATCTTCTTTAGGCAAATACCTATTAGACCACGTACCTATTTTTAAACCATGTATTATGAATATCCTTGCTATTGAGCTGTTATTTATATATTCTAATATTAATCCCTTTTTAGATAAATAGTTCAAAAGTATTTTCTCTTACTCTGTAAGTTATATATTTTCTCTATCAAATCTTTTCTTTCATGTGGGGAAGACTTTTTGTTTGTGATCACATTGGTTAATTATTGTTTTTTTTTATTTGCTTTTGAGGTCATATAAAAATCACTGCCAATGTTTTAAAGCATTTTCTTTATATTTTCTTCTCTTAATTTCATAGTTTCAGGTCTTCTATTTAGACTTTTGATGAATTTTGAGATTTTATTTTGGTATATGGTGGGAGACAGAGATCTAGTTTACTTCTGAATTTGGATAACTCCTCATACTTTTACATAATATTTTTAGATTGCAAAACATCTAAGTAGGTTTATTGACTAATCATTTCCCTTGACTTTCCTATTTTTGACGACAAGGAATTATGGTATGCTTTACTGTTTTAATTTACTCTTAAATATTCTTATTATTTTTAATATCAACTCTAGTAAGATATAATTTACATATCATAAACTTAACCATTTACATCATGCAGTTGAGTGGGTTTTTAGTATATTCATTTGGAAAAGGAAGTTGTGTGAACTTTCTTAGCCTCATAAGGTCACATAAAATATGCTTCTGACTCATTTTCTTGCAATAAGATAAGAAACTCTTCCAATCTAATGAACACATCACCTCATTTGGCAAGATCATTGCCTGATCCAATTTCCATGTGTACTTCTTTGCTCTGCTTAAGTGTGTACATCATCTAACACTTCTATTATATCAGTTGCTGGTGGAAAGAAATGTGATTCTGCACCTCTCGCACAAAATTCCACATTTTCCCTTGAAGGGCTGTTGAAGGAGGACCACTGACTATAGAGGACCATGCTCAGAATGGAAGGTGATTTTGCTCTATCTCTTTCCTACGTGAAACACTGTTTCTGCCACTGTAAGTGTGAGTTCTGTATTTCTGATACCTACAAACTTCTGAGTTGATCTCTTGGGTTGTATATTTGTTATTATTGGTGGTAGGCACTATTTTGACCTTTGGTATTCTCTGTGTTATGGGATTCCTCCTTTAGTGGTGGTAACAGGCTTCACTGTCTTGACAGTTCATAACTATGGGCAATTATCATGATTGGCTAATTCCAGAATATTTTAATCCATCCTAAAATACTTTATGATCTATTTTTCCTCACAGCTCCTGGCAACCATGAATTTGCTTTTTGTATGCAGAGATTTGCCTTGACTGTTCATTTCATGTAAGTAGAATAATACAATATGTAGTTTTTTACTTAACATGCTTTCAAAATTCATGCCTGTTTTAGTATATTCTAATAATTCATTCTTGGTATGTATAAATAATATTCCATTGAATATACATTATATTTGTTTTATTCATTCATAAAGTTGTATAAATATAAGTTGTTTGGGGAGTGATGTTGATTTTTGTAAAATGAATGAACTAATGTACAATCCAACTATCAACACATGAGAACCCTAATTTCTTTTAATTCTCTCCAATTCTAATATTTATCTAATATTTATCTTTTTTATTGTAGCATTCTTGGCTTAAAGTGAGATGTTATTTCAGTTTTTGTCTCCAATCCTATGGTAGCAAATATTGCTTAATAAATTTTCATATACTTATTGGCTTTTTATAAGTCTTATTTAGAGAAATGGCTATTCAAATAACTTGCAGGTTTTAACTGAGTGATCTATTTTATTATTGCATTCTAAGAATTCTTTGTTACCAAAAATTTTATTTTAAAGTCTTTTTCTAAATTTGTTAGTATCCTTAAGCTTTTAATAATAATCACATATACCTCTCTCATATTACATGTTGAATTGTTATTTGGGTAATCGCTTGTTTAGTAAGAAATTCATTAGCTGGGATAAGTTACACGGTGCATACAATGATAAATTTTGTCAAATTAATTGTACAAGGTATCCAAGTATTTCATCAAACATTATTCTTTTTGGGAAAGTCTATCTAGATTACACTAAAAATTCATCTCTTCTATGTGTTTTCTGAAGGGGCTTTGTCTCCCAAAAATGCAGAACTGAGGCTTCTATAACTGAAACCTAAAATCTTGTCTTGCAACTAGATAAAATATAGTGCTTGCTGAACCACCAGCTTCAGGATGCAACTACTCTTAATGCAATACTCTTACGCTGACTGAGATGATAGAGCATCTTGAAGGTTAGGATGGGGAGTTCCAGGGAGTCCCTAATGAAATTAAGGACATGGAATCCTTAAACTCTGATGAGGATTCTTTGCTGCTGTGAATTCCTGAGGCCCAACAGAAGCAGTGGAATAGCTTCCCTCCCACTTCATCAGGGATGAACTAGTCATTCCAGGAGTAACTAATAACTTCCTTTAATGCAATGCAAGACAGTACAGATTGTCCCCAGGATTTATTGTACTCCATTTCTCCTTCTGTCTGGATCTACAACTAGAGTCTAATGACAGACTCCTAAAGGTAAGGGATAAAGTGAGAAACATGAGGAGGTGTGCTGTACTGCAAAATAACTATTTTAAATTTGTGTGTGTGTGTGTATATATATATATATATATATATATATATATAGTAACTATTTGTGGGAATGGATGCTGAAGGAATGAGAAAATGTAGAAGGCATATAAAACTGGATCAGGAGAAACTTATTGAGATAAGCTCACTAAGCAGAGAGTCTGCATTTTTAAATGAAGCATCTCATGTAGTTATAAAGAGTTCTAATAGTTTGATGAGCTGAAAGAGCAAGTTTGAAGTATTGGGCGTGCCTCAGCTGAAGATAAAGCAAAGGACTTAAAGGATCAGTGTGGGGGAGATTAGAATAAATTTGTTACTCAAGACTTAAGAGGTTTGACAAGACATGTCTTTCACCTCTATTGGGAGAAATCAATTTGTCAGAGTAGCCATGGCATCTCTATGTTTTTTTTTTTTTTTTTTTAAGCAGGAACTGCAGTCACTGAATTGGGATACTTAAAATGCAATGAAAGTAATGATCCCATGGGTGACAGTACCAAAACGCAACAGTTTACCACAAAAAGAAAGATGAATTGACAACAGTATTCAGGAAACAAGGACAATAATCTGACTTATTCAGATGATTTTTGCTCCAATATTATGATGATTCTAAGAAGTGAAAGACAGAAATTCTAATAAAATCTTGCTTTAACTGTATAAAACTCATAAGAAGAGAAAAATGTGCCAGTCAGTCAGTGCCAGGTTTAAGTCTGTACATGTGCCCAGAACATGTTGAATGAGAGAGAGATCAGGTTCCTTTGGTGAAAGACCCTGGTACACTACCAAAAATTTATACTGCAGTGTTTCTATGTCTTTATCAAAGGGGCTTGTATTGTTTTACTCAGACAACTGCACTGGAAAAAAAGAAATAATTAGATCTTCAAGAGTAGTATCTCAAAATTGACATTGATTCTAGAAGATTCAATATGTCACAGTGGTTTGCTTGAGTCAGAGTAGAGGCTACAGAGGTCACTGGGTTAATGGAGTTTTAGTTCTGTTCTCTCTTACTGTGTCCCCTAAGTGAATCCTGTGTTTTTTCCTCCAGTTCCAGAATTTATGATTGAAACAGACACAGCATCTGACACAATCTTTACTTTGGTTTCCCAACCTGCAGAATGAGGTGGTATAGGTCATATAAAAGCTATTAGAACTCTCTTTAAATTCAAACTTGCTAATTAAAAGCACACCCTCATCGCTAGAGGGATTGAAGAGATTAATGCTATTTTCAGACATTTGAGATACAGTTGTGGTGATTCCTATCGTGTTCCATTCAACTCTCCCATTTGGCCTGTGCAAACAACAGATAAATCTCAGAAAATGCTGGGTTATCACAAACTAATCCTAGTGATAATTACAATTGCAGCTACTGTACTACGCAAAGTTTAGCTGCTTAAGCAAATTAGTATATCCCCTGGTACCTCATACAGAGCTACTGATATAAGACATGGCTTTTTCCTCATACTGTCCATCTAAGAGCAGTTATGTTCCAGCTGCCAAAGTCAGCAATGGTCTCTTACTCCTATCACAATGGTACATTAACTCTCTCCTGCTGCTATAATTCTTTCACAAGACAGGCTATTCCATTCTGTTTATGTCTTTATGCTGACTTGAATTTAGTGAGCCAGAAGTAGTAACTATTTTTAGACTTATTGGTCCAATATTTGTGAGTCAGAGAGTAGGAAATAAATCCCCCTCCCCCCATAAAACTCAGGGTCATTGTACCTCAGTGAAATTTCTAGGAGCCCAGTGGTATTCAGCACACTGTAATGTGTTTATAATGTGAAGATGAGATGATACATCTGGCACCTTATAAAATAAAAAAGGAGTACAATATCTAGTGAACTTATTTGTAATTTTGAAGCAAATTGTGTCTGGGTGTGCTATTTTAGTTCCTTTATCAAATGACACAAATATTTGGAAATCTTGAACTGGGCCCAGAACAAAAGAACAGATCTTACATTAAGATCCAAACTGCTGTTCAACCTGTTTGTCACTTTACTCATGTAACCTAACCAACTGCAGTGACACTCGAGGTGTCAACGGCAGCAGTGGGATTCTAGCTGGCCTCAATATGTGAACTGCTATTCCTATTCCTATTGCTATTATTCTTCCTACTGCTATTACTGTATGCCATTACTATTTTGGAGTTACACTATGCCATGCTCTACAGATAACTATTCCACTATGAGAGATGACTCTTGCTATACTACTCGATTTTAGTAGATTGTGAATGCTTGCTTGTGGGCTACCAGTTGGGTCAGTTGACTATAATGAACTGTATGGTATTTAACTCATCAACCATAAAATTGGGCATGGATGGGAGCACTGACTGATCACATGGAAACATGGAAGATCAGATCTGAGAAGTTCTGAAGGCACAAGAAGGTTTCACAGAGAAGCAGCAAAATGCTCATTTTTCTCCATTCTCATTAAACTATTCTTTCTCTTCCAGTCTGTACTTATGACCTTGTGTGGACTACCTTAGGACTGACTGACAGAGGCAGAAATGCCTAGTGCCTGCACTATGGAGAGATAGTATGATAGATGAGGACTCTCCGGAAGTAGATGGCAGCAGCACTGTGGATTATTTCTAGGATATTCCTGAACGAGAGTGGTAAGGAGAAATCACTTCAACTAGTACAATTTGTCCAGTTATCCTTAGAAGAATAAATGATCAAATATGTGATTATTTACTTAATCATAGGTTAGGGCAATGTTTTGACTATGTGTTTGGAGATTTGGAAGGAGCATGATTGGACCAAATGAGAACAAGTAAGTTGTTACTTTTTCTATTCTGTCTCACCTCGTTCCATATGAATTTTGGAATTGTTTTGTCTACACCTGTGAAACATGCTGTTAGTGTTTTAATCGTGACTGCTTTAACTAAGTTGTGATGGCACAGTCATTTTAACAATATTGATTTAGGTAGAATTTTTGATTATTTCATTCAGAAATAAAGTTCAGTCATATTTAAGTCAGTTTTGGAATCTAGTACTATTTTTATTACTGATTGGGCATTTTACTTTATTTTTATTTTTAAAAAGCAAAACAGAATAAAAGATAGAAGTAATACAGAATTTTAAAAAACCCTAAGAAGTCAACACTTCGATAGATGCATCTGATACTCTTCTTTATCATCTCTCATAAAATGGGTTTCCAATTTGGCTAAAAGGTTAAGTAGCAAGAGATAGTTTCACGGATTTTATTCAAGTACAAAGACTTTATATACTTTTTCATTTACTACTCACTGTGTAGCAGCACACTGTAGTTTTGTATTGATTCTTCTGTGCTTGGAGTGAGGTCTTGTCTATTAAGGACTAAAGAGAGAGTGAGGAGGGGATAGAATTCAAGCAAGAAGCTTTCATCAGGTGAATTAAGATAAAATGAAGCCAAACTTTCTTATCTTAATAGGTGTCCCAAAATAAAAAAAAAATGATGGTTTTAGCAGTAATTTTTTTTTTATTTCACAACATGCAAAAATCAATATTACATTGAAATTTGAAAATTAGACAAAAATGAGAGATTTGAGTCTTTCCCTTGTTGTCAATGTAATCAATATTTCCCTCTACTACTGTACTTCCTTGTATAAATGATATCTAATTTGATGACCCTAAAGATTTAGAGCATTAAGAATGTACTGTGCCTATTTTACTATGTTTATTTGCAAAAGTACATGGTGCATTGATTTCATAGTCATTGCAAGTTTAGAATGAAGAATAAAATTGCAAACAATATTGAATGTGTTTGACATATATTTACTGATGAATTAAATGCCCATTATACAAACATTATATTATGTACTTTAATTTGATATTATTTTAAAATTAACCTAAGAACTCTTTCTGTTGAGTGTTTACTGTATGCTTGGAATTGTCAGAAATTAAGAAAAGAGAGTTGTTTTATTTTTTGTAGACTGCATAAGTTATCATCTTTCCAGGGACTTTTTGTTTGCTTTTTGGTTTTTATCTTAATGTAATTATAAATGCACAGGGAGTTTCTGTGTATGCTTTCTAGCCTCCACTAATGCTAACATTATCTATACTTACAGCCAAATATAAAAACAAGACAGTTCACATTGGTAAAACCACAGAATTTATTCATGTTTCCCAAGTATACATTTACTGACTATGCTGAGTATATATGTATACTTTTTCAAGATTCTATCACACATGGAGCTTACATCTACCATTGCATTGACTTTCACATTTCCCCAACATGAAAAGTCTTCATTGTTTTATCCAACTATATTCATTCCCACTTGTACTAACTTAATCCCTAGTCAAACAGAAACTTAAAAAAAAATCTCCATCATCATGGTCATTTTGATAATATTAAACGATGAAATCAAACAACATGCTCTCATTTAAGTTTGAGTTTTCTCACTTGACATAATTGGGATAATTCACCCAAGTTGTTTTAATTCTCAAGTCTCTGTTCCACTTTTTCTATTGGGGATGGAGATGTAGCTCAACAGCACAGTGCCTGCCTGGCAAGCATGAGGCCCTGAGTTTAAATCCCAGTACAAAAAAGAAATCAATCATATTGTCCATTTTATCCCTGAGTAGGAGTCTGTAGGTATTTCTGTGTGAATGTAAGTTTCATTTCTCCAGTTTAAATGCTTATGAAAGTCTTATTTTTGTTTTCACAGAAACTGATAATTATCCAGAGTATTCATATTTTATATTTCCACCAGCAATATACTGATGATTCAGTCCTTCTTAATGCCAGAATTTAAAGTTATCACTTTTTAAAATCATTCTCAGAATTATATAATAAAATTACATTTTTGTTTCAAAACATGTGGGGGAAATGTATATATCACTGTTTTCTGTATATAATCTGTTCACTATATTCCATTCAGTGAAATATTTACTTTATCTTTTTGCTCACTTTCTAACTGAATTTTTAGTACCACTTATAATCTTTTTTAATTCTAGATACACAATGTGCATCACATATGTAACTTGCAAAATTTATAATCATGTGATTATTTAGTCTTTTAAAAGGGAATTTTAGAACAAAGGGGTTTTAAAGCATATTTGAATGAAATTCAATATGTTATCATTCTATACTCAATTGATTATCAACTAATTTTCATAAGCGTGACTTTGGTATGTCTTATAGTGTAGTAACAAACTGGTGTGTGTTCAATGTTTCCCCAAAAATGTTTTTACAAACTTATTTCTAGTATACGATGGAAAATATTTAAGTATTGAGAAACAATTTTGAATATATTAGAAAATACTAGGACCTTTCCTACTTACCCTCACCCTGTTGTATTTTTCCATATTGCAAATATTAAAATATTATTTTACTTTCTAAGGTGGAATAAAAAGTATCAATTTTATTTTCCCTTGATCTTCTCATTCCTCCCTCATTAATGAGCATAAATAAAGTATAAAGTATATTTGAAAACGCTGATATTTATTACTTTTTTATTTTTAGCTTTGTGAGATAAGGTCTCACTGAGCAGTCCAGAATGGTTTTGAACTCACTATATAGTCCAGACTGAGCTGGAACTTGTGGATACCTTCCTGTCTCATCCTCCTTGGTACTGGGATCATAGGCATGTACCACCATGCCCAGTAATACTGATATTTTATGTGTTGTAATTTTTCAGTTTACTGAAGGTGAACTACACAGTGATTTTATATATATATATATATATATATATATATATATATATATATAATTTTTCTGGAAAAAGCCATATTGAAAAAAGTATTTTATTGTTTGAAGCATGCTTCATTCACTTAGTCAATAAACATAGATTGGCCCACAACGTGCTATCAACTGTTTTAAGATTTAATGAACATAGTTATAATATACAGCTAATAAAGACGTTCCTATATCATTTTTGCTATACAAATTTAAATATAATGTACTACTAAATATTGAGTTCTTCAACTGATTGAGCAATGTACAACATACTTTTAGGCATAATTTCAAAGTTTTTAAAAAATTATGTTTTTGTCTTCACAAAATCTCCAGTACCTTCTCAGGTATTTATGTAGAAACACCGTTATTTTGTATTCAGAGATACACTTGCACTAAGCCATGGTATTTTCTTCTGAAGAAGAAGTGTGTAAAACAGCAAAAATAAGTTACTAATTTTAGGAATATCCCTATTTAACTCAGATGTCATCGAAGGTAGCTAAAGTGTAAAATGATGACTTCCAGGAAGCTTCAAAGTGTAATCAAGTTATTTCTAGTAGTGTGATACATGGACCACATTGATGTTACTGAAAAAAGTGCTACTTGGTCAAAAGATGACATAGTGCAAAAAGTGACAAATGAGTTTTAAAAACACTTTTAATATTTCCTAGGTGTTTTATTCTGCAAACAATTTATGTCATGAATCTAAAATATTTGTGTTTTTGACAGATGAATTTTTCGACATAGAAATCAGTTATTTTTAAATTATGTCATAAAACAATGTCTTTGCATCAAATATCTTCACTTCTTTAAATTCAATAAATGAATGCAATTCAATATAGATAAAATTACACCTTGCAATGCCCTTTGTCATAAGCAAATTTGTGTAGCAAATACTACCTTCATTGCCTATTAATATGTGGTCTCCAGAGGATTATAGCCAAGAAACTTATTAAACTTTTTACTTAAATTTTTCCTTTGTCTTGTTGCAGCGATAGAACGTTTTGTCTCAAGTTATGTATAACAATGAAGTGTATAATTTTTAGCACCTACATTAATACATTAAACATTTATTTACCTATTCATTTTTATACACTTGCTGTGGAAATTTCAAAAACACTGTGAGATAGATTAGATTTGATTTACTATGTACCCAGGACAATGCCAAGTGAGTTTTAAATATAGTATCAGTAAATTCTCACACAATTTATAACATTAATACTCAAAATCTACACTTTAGAGTTATTGGTACTGAAGCTAAGCATGTTAGATATGCTGATTAAAAATCTAGCATATAAATGTAAACTCAAATCAAGGTATTTTTACTCCTAGGACATTAACAATTATATGTATATTAAAAACTAAAATATCTGTGTAAGAGACTAAAGAGTATAAATCATTGCAAGATTAAAACTGCAAAATAAGCGAATAACCTCTATACCTATCTGCTATGTTGAATCAGCTTCAGCCTCTAAATAGAAGTTGCTCTTTGAGAGTGATCAAATCCATTTGCTGAATATAAAAGCATCAGTTGGGAGCTGTAGATAATAAAAAATACATTTGACACAAAACTAAAATCAGCAATGAAAAAGGAATCTGATAATAAGCTAAAGGAAAAGTTTGAGTGAGTCTAATACTGAAGGCATAAATATCTATTTATAAATTAACATAAAGTGATGAGAAAACTTTAGAAAGACTTTTTATGGAGAAAATAGACAAGGCAACACTTAAATACTGAGTAAAAATATTTGAAAAATATATCCAAGAAGACAAAAAAAAAAAAACACCAAGATGTTCTAGCAGAAAATTGACTATCAACATAAATGTCACATTTTGCACAACTCCTCTGGTATCACACAATATGGACTTGTGTGCTATGATGTTCCCACAAGAAGTTTTTAGAACTAAATAATAATGTGGTTAAAATATAAATTTTATTACAAGAATATAATAATTTAATTTCAAATGGAAAAGCAATTGGTAGTAATCAATTGCAATTTCAATAATCAATTGTAATTAAATAATCAGCTATTTAAACTATTAACTGTCAGTTAACTATTAAACTATCAGTTATTTAAACTGTAATTAAATAATCAGCAAATATATATACAAATAGG